AGTTATATTCATGACTGTTAACTAGAGCAAAGTTGGTTATTTCATAGCTGTTGCAGTTTGGTTTTCTTGTGATAAGCAGTGGGTTTCACTTGGTTTAATTCATATAAGATAGAGTATGGCCAGGTTTGTAGTCATGGAGTTCAAGAAGCCTGTTGAGGATTCACTAACTGATTGAAAATTCTAGTGTATTACCATAGTGGCCTTAGTGTTTAACTTGCTATCTAGGTTTGTTGAGAGGTTTGTCAACCTAGATTTCTAATCTGAATTCTATTTGTTCTGTTATAGATCATTTGGACTCATGGCATGTTTGTGTAACAAGTTGATGTGTTGAGAACTGTCATAGGAGTTCTAGGTTGTTTGCCTCAGTCTATGTTGGTCCTTAGAGGAAATTTGTCCTTGCTGGCTGTTGGTTGTTTTTTAGGTGTAGTCCATGTTGATTTCTTGCTGCTAGTGTCTACAGGCATATGCTAGTTTGAGTCTAGAATGTGGTAATTTTCTCTGCTATTCTGATGTAGCAAGGAGAAAGCTGTTGCTTTAACTCATGAACAGATTGGATTTTCAACTTCATTACCATAGTGCCTTGTTTACTCAATTCACTGTCCAAGTTTGGTGTGGGGTAGGCCAATCTAATTTCCCATCAGGATTTTGTTGCGGCTGCTGCTTGATGAAGAGGAGAACTTTGTTTTATTCTGTTTAGTTTTGTATCTTTGGTGATGCTAGCAGTGTTGGTAGGACTGTCCTTAATCCATGAATAACTGTTACCACAGTCCAACCTTCTAGTCATGACAGGTTTGCTCATTTTCTTGTTGCAAATCTAGGCATTTTGTTGTTTATTGGTGATTAGGATTGTCATGTTAAACTTGTGTGCATTACTGTTAAACTTGTTTTAAAATCTGTTTGTGTTGGTTGAAATAACAAATGTCACATGAAGCAAATGATGGAGAGGTTGGTGGTAGGATGTGTAGCATTGTTTTGCTACTATTAAGTATTGCCAATAGCATGGAAACACCAAGTTGTTTTATTTGTGTGTATGATTGTCCAATTCTGTTTTGTTTGAGAAGTTTTAAAGTTGTCATTGAGGTTATTACTTGAGTGGAACATTGTCATAATGGTATGGTTGATCTGAACTGATGTGAATTCGCCACTCTTACTACTGCGAGTTGAAGTTGCTTTATACTTAAGTTTTGTGTTTACCTTTTGATGAACATGACTGTTTTATGCCTGTTGTTTGCTCATTGATTTTTGGAGCTCATGATTGTTATATGTCTGCTGTTTTATGCCTGTTGTCTGCTTATAGATGTTTGGAACTCATATGCTTTTTGCTTTGTTTGAACCATTCCAACTTATGCAACAATTTACAACTTCATGGTCACTTTTTAATTCACTAAGAATTTGAGATTCTTCTTTAGACATAATCCATGAACAACACATTTAGGGTGTGTGCAGACCTTTACTTGTCCTTAAATCCACCAGTTTTGATCATTAGAGCTCAAAATGCATCTCAAGCTCCATTATGTGTGAGCCATCGAATTTCTTTGTGTGTACATTATTTGGGAAAACTAACTGAACCTTTGTGTTCCTTGTGAAAAGTTAGTCAAGTTAGACTAAAAGTTTGCTCAATTTGGATGAGATTTGAGTGAGTTACAATCAAAACGCATTTGGATAGCTTGCCTTGTTTCCTGCCCAGTCACACGCGCCCTTTAGTACTTGTATTTACGGGGTAGCATCAATACACGGATGTATCGCCACCCCAGTGGTTGTGACCTTGCCTTGCCATGCCTTGAACCTGAGTTCGATCCCCAGTGGGGGCACTTTTTATCTTAATTTCCTGATTTTCTTTGTTTTAATATTTTAGTTTACGTTTTCCATATTTTTCACATGCGTATGATTGGTTGGAGTGGTATTCTTTCATGTTTGCAACCCTAAGGTCTTGGGTTTAAGCCTTAGGGGGCACTTTCTTTCTCTTTTTTAGCACTTGTTTCTTTTTCTTATTTTCATTTTCTTATTTTCATTTTCTTATTTTATTTTATTTCTTTTCCTATTTTATTATTATTATTTTTAAAATATTTTAAAAACCAAAAAATCTTATTTCTTTTTTAAAGGTGTTATTTTTTATTTCATTTCATGTTATTTGTCATTTTTATTTTCATTTTAATTTTGAATTTACAAATTAATTTTCTTCCTTTCATTTCATTTGTGAGTGAATTTATTTAGTGTTTACTTGGCCTTGTGCCATGATCCCCCTAGAATTCCTAGTCCCTCCGTTTAGGATGGGAGTAGGAGAGACATTAAATGTTGAATCCTTTGCATGATAACATTAGGATAGTTTCATTCCCTTTCATCCCGACTTTAGGAGCATTGTGCATGATAACTTTAGGGTCCAATTTCCCCTTAGTTTGAGTCTTTCTCTTCTCATCTCCCAAACATTTCAAAACACCTAATAAAGAAAGATTTGTGTCGTATGCTACGAGCCTTAAGTACTCGAGGAATGATGGTTAGGGGGCCTCCTCTCAATTGTCTAGAGTTTTTAGCATATGCCCTTTGGGCGATATGCGACGCATTCGCTCTCGAGTCATAGTTTTTAGTGCGACATGAGTTTCAAACCATAACTCAATCCACTTCTTGTCTTAAAAAACACAAAACAAAAACATCAAATCTTTTTTTTATCCTTCGGGATCTTAATTGGAAAACCATTTTCAGAAAGAGTTTTGTTAAGCTTTGATTCTACCGCAAATAGGCATCGTCCCTAACTGTTGGAATCACTGTTTAACCCTACTCGGTTTAAAACACTTGAACCAATATGTGGTCGTGTTAGCCCGAACTACGTTTGCTCTGATTTCTCGTACCAGACGAGGATACGTAGCACAAGACGACGATGTCTTGGCGAGCAACCTCCCCCACTTTCACCCGTAGTTTTCCGAACTACGTTGACTCTGACTTTCCCCATTGCACGAGGGAATACGTAGGCATAGAGCGACGACACTTTATCGAGTCAATTTTCTTTTCTTTTGTCCCCGTGAGCCTTTAGCATAGATAGATTTACACCCTTTTAGACTTGACAACAAGCGTGGATCCCGTCGAGTACGACGGACGTGAGGGGTGCTAATACCTTGCCCTTGCGTAACCGACTCCCGAACCCGAGATTTAGTTGCGACGACCGATCTTATCCCTTTTTCGTAGGTTTTCTCTGATCGTTTCCTTTCCCTCTTTTGGGATAAATAACGAGCGGTGGCGACTCTTCTGTCATTGTCGGCCCCTCTTCGCAGCGATGCGACAACATGATGTATTCAATCATTAGGTTACAAAGTGAGTATTCACTATTATATATAGCTATGGAATTGAGAAGTACTTGTAACTAACTTTGAGTTAGTTGTCCCCCTCTAACAACCTAGTTATGCTCTGATGCACATTTCTAACCATAGTCATGTATGCTTATCTTGCACATATGCATTCCTTCTTCTAATATCGATTAGGTATTAAATTTTGAATCGATTAGACATCAATTGTGTTTTACATTATATTGACTTGGTTCTTGTTAAAAATGTTACATAGCTTGTTGCCCGAAGGTAGGGTGTTAAACGAAGATTACATGTTATCTGATTAGTTATTATTTACTCCATATAAAAATGGATAATGCTAACATGTGCCCTAAGGTCACATGTTAAAAAATCTAAAAATAGAAAATTTATGTTGAAAAAAGTAATGAAAAAATTAATAATCAACATTTAATTAAGACAATACACATTTTTAAAAAAATATTTCAACATTTAACTCTTAACATATGCCCTAAGGACACATGTTAGCATTATTCTATAAAAATTCATAAATAATTTAATTTTTCAATAACAATAATGTGATGTTTGTATTGTTTTGAAAATCATAAGTAAATTAAAACAAAATTTTTTTTTCAAATGCGACAATTGAGGAGAAAAGGTTATAATAATATTTTCTAAATTGCAAGTCATGTTGCAAAAAAATATACTAAAAAGGTAGTTTTTTACAATATCTTAAACTAATTAATAATTATTTATTTGATTATACTAAATATTATTTATTAATCTTTCTTCAATTTATTTAATTTCTCTATTCCACATTTTTTAATTTTATGTAAAATGATGAAAACAACAATTTGTTAAATTGAGAGGGAGGGAGCAATGATGAATATGTGATTGGAAAAGATGGTGACTTCTCAATAAGAAATGATAGAGTTATAATTATCAAATCATGGGCTCACACTCACACAATACTACCTAAATGGTTGGTATCAGCTTTATTGAGAAATGTGTTTGAGAAGACAAAAGAAAAAGTCCAAAGTGAAATCAATTAATTTTGCGGATACAAAACAAAAGGTACCAAGTCCTCTCACTATTTCTGTGTCACGGAGATCTGACACTACTGTTCTCTCGACACCTATTTTTCTACATCATATTCCATTCTTATCTCTAACCTAATTCAATTCACCATGCAAATTATACCTTACACACACTATATCATTCTTGTTTCTTCTTTATATATGCTCATTCTTTCTTCGTAATCAAATTATAATTAAATTTTGATTACTATCTAGATATCAAGGAAAAAGAAAAAGAAAAGCAAAATCTAAAGATAAAGTGAAGATATTAAATTTAATTATACTCATATACAAAGAAATAGAAGGAAAAAAATACACATAACTAACACAAAAGTACCATTTTCACCACCATCTATATAATTATAAGAAATAAATAGAGATCCTTACATACAAACATATAGAAAAATAGTATCTCTCGCTATACATTTCCAGCCCAAAAAGAAAAGAAAAGAAAAGAAGAAAATAAAAAGAAAAAAAAAGGAAGAAAATAAATACGATGACGATGATAATAATTAACATACCTCTCACCAAGAACAATAGAAATATTAAATGATAAAGATAAAAAATTCAAGTACATATATATAGTTCTAAGCCGTTACATCTCCTTTTCATCTTCAATATTAATTGTATGGCTCATAATTTCTTATGCTTACCGGTTCGATATAGGGTTTGGACCACTTGGAACTTCATGAGCATCAACTCCAAATTCTTTTCCATCTCCATGTTTTTGTGGTTTGTGAGGGTGCAAGTTTGTTGAAGTTGATGATGGCGACATGGTTGATTTGGTAGAAGTTGTTGGAGAAGGGTTTATGGTTGAAGTTGGTTGATGAGATAAATTGATGATGAGGAGAAGGATGAGGAAGAGTGTGAGGAAGTGAAAAAAATTGAGTTGTTTAGAGGTATTAGGTTCAGCCATGCAATTTGAAAGAAAAATCCACCCCCCAAGAAACCACAAGGGTTCAATATCCATCAACCAGCCGCACCAAGGCTATGGAGGGAGGTGGAAGAGGAAAAATGATAGGTTTATTGAGAGAGAGAGAGAGAGAGAGAGAGAGAGAGAGAGAGAGAGAGAGAGAGAGAGAGAGAGAGAGAGAGAGAGAGAGAGAGAGATGAGAACCTTCAATAAAAGTGATCTGATTGAAGGTATTGAATTCGATGAACATTTGTCCAAGACCCAATATTAACCTAATATGGAAATTTTATATGAAAGGTGTTGGAAAATGACTCAAATTACCAAAATAACCGTGATAGATATTAACTATTGCCAACCCTAATTATTCTTAAAAAATGTCTTAAGTTGTGATGAATGTTGAATAGTTTTCAAATAGTAATGGGGTATATACCACCATTATTGAATTATTGAATTATTCTCACACTACTACTTTAAAAAATTATATCAGAAAATTGAAAAAAAAAACATCTCTTTTGTTGTTAAACTTAAAGAATAATATAGTGTAAATTATTTTTACAGATAATTAATGAGAGCCCTTATATTTCCACTTCATAGCCATCATTTTAATAAAAATATATTAAAAATAATTAGAGATATACTTAAATATTACTAATAATAATAATAATAATAATAATAATAATAATAATAATAATAATAATAATAATAATAATAATAATAATAATAATTATTATTATTATTATTATTATTATTATTATTATTATTATTATTATTATTATTATTATTATTATTATTATTATTAAATGTATCTTAAAATTTGATTAAAAAATATATATGGACAGATATATTTTAGTTGCTTATTCTTTTTTTTTAGTGTTCACATTGCACTCTTTGAGCTCACTAATAATTAATCAATTAGTAATTAGCACTTGTGAATATTTTATCAATTATGTTGTGGGGCAATTTTAGATTTCATCTCATTTGGAGCAAGATAGTATTAACAATAAAATAAATTTTGCTCAATGTTAGATTTGAATTACACAGTTCTATTTTTTATAATGTTACATAATTTTCCTCCCAATTAATTTGTTGTAAAATTTATTCCTTGAAATTTGTCAACCATGAGTTTAAAATGAAATTATGACTTAATAGTGACGTCTTATTTCAATATATATAGTAGTGTGAAAACTCATAAGGACGAAAATGTAAATGTGAATGAAATAGTTTACATAAAGAATCCAGAAAGATTGGCATAATATGGAAAAAGGAGCCGAAGGTGGTAAAGGAGGTGTTGTGCTGGCTTTTTCTTGCTTTGGCTGCTTGCTCAAGAAATCTTTCTTTGACTTAGAGAACCATAACAAATAATTATAATATAGATTATATTCTTTTCCATGCAACACAAGGTTTCAAAACCTTCGTTTTTGGCGCGTACATGTCACGTATATGTATTCATAAACTTAGAATTTAATATATGTTATTCCGTCTATTGTTATTTGACATGAAATAAAAAATAAAGGGAAGAAAAGGAATCCACTTATGGCACAAAGTCACAAACAACATATGGTTTGAAAATATTGATGAGAGATAAAGGAGTATTCTACGGAAAAGGAATAGTGTTGTTATGTTTAAGATTCGAAGAAACATAGATGATTCCAAAATCAAAATATATGTCACTCTTGTTCTTTTTGTTTCTTTTCACATGAAGAAGGAAAGGAGGGTGATCAATATTCCATTGTTTTTAAATTGTTCGAACATATGATCACTTCCAATATTATGCGATCATAGTATATGAAAAAGAGGTCTTATTCAAATAAATTAGTGCATTTGAGAGCCAAGAAAGGGAAGTGGTTTAATTTAAGATGAATATTGATTTTAGTCCTAATTGATTTTATGAGGAAACCCTCATACTTGTTTTAGTGGTAGAGACTTGGGTTTTGAGAGTGTGCTCTTCTCAAAGTTTTAGGTTCGATTTCTCAAAGTGGTATAGACTTGGGTCGGTTCATACGGAGCTTTGCTCTGACTTTAAACGGACCCCCCCACTAGTGGACGGTGTGATTAATCCCTCTTGAGTTCACTATTCTAAAAAAGACATTTAGCAACACTTTTTTGTCCTTTACCAACACTTAAAAGCGCGGCCTAAAGTGGCGCTGTTGTAGGTAAAGACAACGTTTTTTTTAAGGAAAAAACACTGCTATAGACCCCCTTTTAGCAGCGTTTTTCTAGAAAAGCGCTCTCTTCAACCCCCCCTTTAGCAGCGCTTTCTAAAGTATATTTTCTTAAAACCTTTAGTAACGTTTTTTCATTAAAAGTGCTATCTTTTTCCCCCCTTTTAGTAGCGCTTTTCGAAACGCTCTCTAAAGTATATTTTCTAAAGACATTTAGCAACGCTTTTCTTAAGAAAAACGCTCTTTTTCCCCTCCTTTTAGCAGCGCTTTTAAAAGTGTTATCTTTCTCCCCCATTTTAGCAGCGTTTTTTCAAGAAAAGCGCTGCCTTTTCTACACGTCATTGAATTTTTTATCTTTTAAAAATCACTTTTTTTTCTAGTGTTTTTTTGGTAAAAGCGCTATCTATTGTGCATATTTTGATGAAGTGTTTTTTGTTGAATGCTATTGCACAATTCTTTATAATTTATCACATAAACCTGCTTATAACAATTATATTCAACACAAGCCTTTATTTCAACACTTAGGCCTTATATATACCATAACAATTCAACACATAAACCTACTTATAATCATTGTAATTCAACACAAGCCTTTATTTCAACACATAGGCCTTATATATATATATATATATATATATATATATATATATATATATATATATATATATATATATATATATATATATATATATATATATATATATATATATATATATATATATATATATATATATATATATATATATATATATATATATATATATATATATATATATATATATATATATATATATATATATATATATATATATATATATATATATATATATATATATATATATATATATATATATATATATATATATATATATATATATATATATATATATATATATATATATATATATATATATATATATATATATATATATATATATATATATATATATATATATATATATATATATATATATATATATATTAATTTCAACAGAAACGATCCATAATTCTAAAATATATTCCAAAATCGATAACTTCACAAATATATTCACTATACATATAATTACAAATTTCATATTTCCAGATCCTCACAACAACTTCTAGAAGTATATCAACAAATTCCAAAATTATATTCGACTTTCAGAGCTATAATTATCCAGTAGTATGTACATAACATCACAACAACACAAATCTCTAAAGACCATAAAATCCGATCAAAAGACAGAAAGATAATATACCTTATACAATTCTCATCTCAATAATGTATTGACACCATTCCTCCTTAATTTCTTCCAATTTATCTTTCGACTAGGTACCACACTTGAATTCATCAAAGTACTATATAATATAACATAATATGCATGATTTAGTTAAAACTAACTACTCAGATGAAATATCGGTTAAATATTAAAATAAGTCATATAACTTATAAATCTATACCATATTTGGAATCTCTATTTGACCCGAATGAATAATCTCCTTCATAAACCTCAATACAAAATAATCGCAATCAATACCATTGCCCTGACGAGGACACTGCACATGAAAAAAACGAATATATATCAGGATATATAGTTTAACTAGTTTTATCAAGTAGAATCACTATAATAATCAAAATTGTTAAAATATACATGCACTCTGATCCATCTAATGTTGTTAGTTTTACTCTTTGGTACTCTTGCTTGTCTTTGTGATCAGAATATTTGTATAGCTCTAATATAATATAAACAAATATTTAGAACAATCTCACATAATAAATAAAGATGATTATTCAGAACAATCTCATCACTTACGTATCAACCATCTTCTTCATATATGGATATTTTGTTTGATCACCATCCAATGAATTCAGATAATACACTATTTATTTTATCGGATTAATCGCAACCAATAACCAGTGTCCACTATAAAATAAGATAAAATTTTAAATGGAAATGTTATATAGAATGTCAAAAAATGAATAATTATAATAAATGAAATTAGAATGAAATCTAACTCATGGCCAGCATTATATGGCAAAAAATATAACTTTTATGTATCTGTGGCCATAAATACTTGGACTAAGTAATCTCTGACTACATCTGAAGTGTGATCGATTGACTGTGTGTTGATACAGTTAGAAGATAAGAATGAGAATCTTTTTGTCAATTGATGTGGGACCAACAACTTGTCATACAAGAACCTTAAATAAAAACATAATTAACATTATAATATTTATTGAAATGAGCAAATAAATTGTTTAATTATTTAATTAAAATTGATCGGAGCATCTGATGTATGAATGCATAACACCGATGCCTAATTCAGAATGTTGGAAAATCTGTTCCAAATCCTCTTTAGAAATTGTTTCGGCATAAGCAAAACCGAAAATACCTTCATCCATAGGTATTTGGCGAATGTCACCCTCCACCACATCTGTTGTTTCTACGTATGTTTCAAGGCACAACCTAAATCGAAGAACAAATTCTTTTTTAGGCTCGACCTTTTTTTTGTTGGACACCTTGCTAGATTCAGGCATCTTACCCTTGCTGACTTGTTGCAACTCTTGAGAATGAATTTAAAAATCATATAAGTTAGGTAATTAATGTATAAGATCATAAAGCTATTGAAATCGGAGGATATAATTGACATTTTCTATGCATATATATATATATATATATATATATATATATATATATATATATATATATATATCAATTAATGTACCTGTTTTTTTTGATGCAGCTGACTCGGTTTCCCGCACAATCCCCTTATCTTTTGATTTGGATGTTGTAGGAGTCTAAGATCATCATGTAAATAAATGGTACGTAAATGTAAGAATAACTTACATGTATGGGTCGTAAAAAATTTGAATACGAAACGGTTCATAATGGTTTTCAACGTACCTTATCATCT